TATCTGTATCCACTAGATGTACCAGTAAAATGTTAACTTCCAAACTGGTCGGAATCAGAAAGAAACACATATCTTTGTGAGATTTGAAGGACTTTTCTTCACCCTTATTATCAAAACACATTATTTATCTATTTATTTATTACAATAATGATACGACACCCAATTAGGTATAAACATAATAAGACTATCAGAATAATACGAAACTTGAGATTATCCAACTCTCTATTTCAATTTAATGCCTTTACAATCATTTTAATCATTATCATTTTCATTTATATTGTGGAAGGAGATTCATAATAGCTATTTCATACGTGTTATATACAAATTTTTTCTAAAATTTGTGTTTGGTAGAAACTCACTATCATTCACTTTTTATACTTCCAATCAAAGACTTCTTTCTTAAAATTGTTAAAAAATAATTTTTTTATACTTTACATTATTTGAGTTAACACAAGTGGTTATTTTAAATATTTTTCAGAAGAAAATAATAATTGTTGTATTCTTTCATTTAAAGAATTTGAATAAAATTGTCTTTCTATGCAACAATAGTGGATATGATGGCCATATCTCACGAACACGAAATTTGAGCACAACGCCGTAGGCGGAGTGCAATGTGTACAATCCACTCGAGTTGTACAGTATATTTTTTCTACGAACCACTAACGAAAATTTACTAATAAAAAAAATATTTTAGGTTATTAAGACAAAATATCTAATTTTAAAATAATTTATGACTTTTAATAATTTTTAAAATAAAATAAACGAAAAAAACAAAGAAAAAAAACTTTTATTTTATTTTTCGCCATCTGAGAATCGAACTGGAGTCTTCAGTGTGAAAGGCAAGAACGCTAACCACGGGACCATTTTTTTATTTTTGTTGCTTTAATACTCGTAATTAAATTGACTTTATATAGTTTTATTTAAATTAACAAATTATTTATAATTATAGACGAAATAAAAACAGAAATGCTATTATTTATCGATTCTACGCAAGAATAACCCATTTTAATGTATGTTTAATCACAATAACTAAAAAATATAGACAATTAGTTTGACAGAATTGTCACTTATTTAAAATTTTAAAAATGATAGCAGTCGGTTGATCAAACTATGAACGGTGATTGGTGGATTTCATTTCAGTATTCTCACTACCTAGAATGCATATGAAATATATTCGTTCAGTTGAAGGCAATAGCATACTTTTTCGTTTTGTAATCTGTGCGTAGATAAGGTAATATCCATATGGGCACGTGCCCTAGTATAATAAACAAAAAAAAATAACTGACATATTTTATATTTTCCTCAATGCCTATTATTATGTTATTTAATATTCAGCGCAAACCTTGTTGGCACGACACTGGACGACCGGGCGTTGAGCGACGTTCGAAGAATTTAGAAATTAAGTGGGCACAGGGCACATTAAATGTGTGCCTCTGTTGTTTTCTCTCTCATTATGATGCGAAAAACAAGGACAACGGCAATATCGCTTAGTAAGAGATGAATACATGCGATGGATTATACGTCACAAACGGGGCGCTGTCCTTATTGTGACCTATCATCTAAGATCGTGACGTGCCCATGGCACAGATTACCTAGACCAGATACGAATGTACGCAGCGGCATCTTTACTTAAGGCTTAAGGTGCGCGTTTGTTGGACCATGATAATAATTTATTTATTGTGATTACGAAAAAACGTTAGTTCGACCTTTGGAATAGTTAAGCAATAAAACTACAAAAAAAACACTTTTTTTATAAAACAGTCAAAACTATGATTAAAAAAAAAAATCAATAATATTTATAAATGGGACAAAATTTTAATTTTTCTTTTGGTTTTGTCTGACTTTTTCGAGGATTTCAAATCTTTGTTTGCACATTTAAGAGTATAAAAAATTCTGAGTCTTGTACATAATTTAATTGTGTACATTTTCGCAAATTGTTGGCAAGGATGACCAAATTCTATTTTGCTCATCTCAAACAGGTATGCGTTGAAAATTGTAGGCTTAGTTGACAAACTATCAAATATTTTTTATAATTTGAAAATATAAAAGAGAAATTTTTCGATGGGAGATTTTAAATTGCCAAACACCTTTACTTCGTCGTATGCTTTAAAATGCTCCTACACGATGGAATTTTACATCGAAGTGTGTCAATAAATACTATTTATGTTTATAAAGAGGATTTGATTAAATGTATCGAAGAAATTATGAACACAGAATTCGATAAAAAAACTATTAATCAGACTAAAGGGTTGATAAATTTTGAAAGACAGATTTTAGTTTCTGGTTATTTTTCTTCAGCAAAATAATGCCAAATTGCGATATACTTTTTGATCAACTGCAAAGTAGACAGCTCGATGCTCTCAAGGTTAAGATAAACATATCAAATTTTGCAGCAGCTATTCAAAATATTAGAAATAATATAGACACGCTAATTCATAAAGAATGGAAATCACAACAAGACCCACAAGAACTAAACTTAAACGTCAACACCCAATCAGGTCCAATTGCAAGCAAGAAGAGATGGTTTGTTGAAAAGGAGGACCCCATTCCTAATTTAAGGATATGTAAGGAAATTTGTGATACAATAGTAGTGCAGGTAAATGAAAGTTTTAATTTTACTGTCCACCTAACAAGTTTATTTGATAGTGAAAAATTTAAAGACTACCGAGGTTGTTTTCCAAATGAGGACATTAAAACTGTGTGTAGTTTATTTCCAAATGTAAACAGCTTAAAATTCAAAAACGAACTGTCCATACTTTACACCCGAGATGACTTTGTGAAACACAATGGGGCCGTACCATTATTACAAATGTTTTTGAAGAACAATTTGACAATTACATTTTCGGACTCTGTATATCTGCTAACTATCCTGTGTACAATTCCCATGACCACAGTGGAGAGTGAAAGATGTTTTTCGACACTAAAACGTATTAAAACATTTTTAAGGAACACTATGTGCCAAGAAAGATTGTGCGCGTTAGCCATGTTATTCATCGAAAAAAAACTTATTCAGTCCATTCCAAATTTTAATAATCTGGTCATCGATCACTTCGCTAGCCAAAAATCCAGAAGAATGGACTTCAACTCTAAGAAATAGTATACAACTGCAGCGGTACCTAGCAGTTAGTCTTCAATTTTGTAATATTTAATTTGTTTTAAAATATATTTTTTATTTTCATTAAGCATAGAACTTGTTTTCCTAAGGGTAAAACGAATCCCGGGATTCCTTTCCAGTGTGTGCCCCACTGCAGCTGGTGCCCACGAGCCGCCACTGTATGGGTGTAGAAAAATAATACTTAATGCTCGCTTGTCAGTTGCATTACTTTTATTAGCATATTTGGAAAATCGTATCGGTAATTATTCTCAAACAACTAATCGGAATGGCTGGAAGTTAAATTACAAATCATTTCTCCGTAAAGTCATTACAGTTTTGTGTATTAAATAAAACAGTGTTTTGCTTATTTTGTGTAGGTTTAGGATGAATCTAGCCACTTTAAAATAACCACCGGATCAGAATTATTACTGATTGTAAATTCAATAACAAAATATATTTTTATGTAGCAATATTCCTTCGTTCGATGTAAACTTTTCAAATGTAATGTATTAAAGTGAACAAAAAAATCTCTAAATCAATAACAGGTGCTAGCACATTCTTCTTCTTTAACTAGTACCTTTTTATTTATTTATTTATTTGACTACCACATTTGAGACTGGATAATCTTTTATAAATGTATTTATTGATTTTAAAACCAAAAACAGTTTTTATTTGTTTTTATTTTTGCAACTGATGAACTAATGAACTTTTTCTAATTTTGACATATACGCAAGTGTCAAAACGATCTACTTTATGCAACCATTATGAAACTGGTTACGAATAAAATATTGTCATCAGTTGCAAAAAAAAATAAAAATAAACCTTTTTGTTTTTTAAATCAATTTGAAAGTTTATATCGAAGGAATAAAAATTGGCTTTATAAAAAATATAGTTTTTTAATGAACTTACAACCTAGTATTAATTCTGTTTCAGTTCCTATTTTCCATCCTAAATCCGCACAAAATAAAAAACACTAACCCACTCTTACTCAATACACGACAAAATAACTCACTTTCTTGAAAACTAACAAACTGTACCAAGGAAACTACTCGACAATATGTAATGGTTGAGTTGATAAAAAATATTTATGATTTTCTAAATAATATACGCCAGTATGCCTATGCAAGTTATAAGTTATGCAACTAACAATACAAACGTAATATTGGTTGCATAGATATACACTATTTATAATTGTTTGAGTGAAAACATACCTAACTGATGATTAATTTTTTTTTATCTTTCATTGATATAAATCAAATTATAACTTTTGTTATTCAATCAACTGTAGAATTTTTAACAATAAATGATGAAAAATCAGAAACAACTGTTATTAATTGAAATATGAGTACAAAAAACTTGACTTATGTAAAAAAAATCAAAATTGTATGTTGGTATAACTATGGCAGCGGGCAGAAGATAAATTATTTTGAATATTTTGACAATAACAAACTCCATATTTTTCTCTACAACTTTCCAAACGCTCTTTTTATAAAATCTTTGATTGGAATTACAAAAATTAATGGTTAGTCATTTTTTACACAACTTTTATAATTCAGTCAAAATTAGAAAACATGTTTCGAAATGCAATTTTGTGTAACTCGTTGCGGAACCTCGCTCTACTCGTCCCGCAAATATTCACTTGTTACATAAAACAAGAGTTTTCGTAACTGATTGTATAAATAGCTATTTCGTAACTAATTACATAATGTTCAACTTTTAGTAAATAGTTACATTTGGACATTTGCTGCGGTTACAAAAAATATCACTTTATATCTCAAAATTAGAAAAATAAAATAAACGAAACAACAGTTCAGATACGTCTTTATTAAATTTTATTATACAAATATACAAAATATATGTTTATTCAAAAAGAATAAACATTTCCAAATTTTTAAACAAATTTTGCCTTAGCGTTACCATTTTACGCCATCATTCGAAATATTATTTAAAAATGTCTATTTACCATCCTAGTTTATTGTAACCACCCTGAGAACTGGGAACGTATGATTTTAAAAGACCACTATAATCGTCTTTACCGTTTATAGCACCAGAATGAGATTCGTAGTTGTTACTGTATTGTGCACTCGAGTCTCCAACAGAGGATCCATATTGGTTACTGTAGGAACCATATTGATTACCGTAACCCAGTTGACTACCGGATGAACCATATTGGTTACCGGATGAACCATATTGGTTACCGTATAAACCATGTTGATTTCCGGATGAACCATATTGATTACCGTAGGAAATAAGTTGTCCACTACTATATTGTGAGCTCAAATCTGAACCAAAAGATTTTTGATCTCCATAATATTGAGAGCTAGGAACATATGATTTTACAAGACCGCTCCAATCGTTATTACCCTGTTGACCGCCATATTGGTTACCATAGCTATGACTGTATTGGGTGTTCAAATCAATACCATGTTGGCTGCCGTACTGACTACCATATTGGTTTCCATATTGACCATGGTCACATGGTGCGTCGTTACTTGTTTCATAAGAATGGATATATTTGCGTTCTTTTACAAATATAGGTGTGGGTACTTTAACTTCTTCTCTGGTGGTTACTTGAACGGGGTAGGGCTGGGGATATGGCTCTGGAACATGAACGGGTACCTAAAAAATATAAAATATGTATAAATAACGATATGCATGTGAATTTGACAGTTCTTTTGCAAAATTGCTTCTACCTTAAGATATACTTTTTTTTCAACGGGTACTTGGACGGGTACTTTCACTTCAACTGGATATGGTCTTGGTACTTCCACAGGAACATGTTCTTTGATATGTACTGGTACTGGCTGTGGAACTTTTACTTCGTAGGGTTTAGGTACTTCATATGGGACGTTAACTTGATAAGGTACTGGGTACGGCTTCGGTACTTCAACGGGATACGGCTGTGGTACGTGTACTGTCTTGGTAATTGTTACTGGGTAGGGTTGTGGAACCGGTACTGGTACTTGTTGATTTACTTGATGATATTCATGAGTATTACTGACTAGGTGTGATGATGTGGGGACTGAAAAAAGTATTAAATTAGTGTTGGTATTTATAGATTTCTTTGCATTTACAAAGTGTCACCACAAGGTTGATAACTACTCGTAAACCAACATAAAAGTTAGATAAAAAATTTGGATAATCACTTTCTGTCTAAATGAAAGTAGCAAGTACGTTGTAGACATTGGATATAAAACATTGAATTTAAAGTTTTGAACATTGTATGTTTGACAGAAAACAATTCTAACATTCTAGGGTGATTTATTATAATGAAAAAACAATTAACTTTGTTGATACATTAAATTAATTTTAATATTTTTTTTATATATTTAATATTTATCTTTTTTTACTTGTTTGTTGGTATCCATATTGGTATGATGATCCTCCATGACCTCCATGGTGATGGTGACCTCCATCTAATTCATCGTATATGTTATTGGAAATGTGACGTTTAGGTTTAAGAGTTTCAGGTTTCTTTTGTTGGTTCTTATCTTCCACTGCATGTGTCAATGCAAGGACGAGGAAAACTGCAAACTAACCAAAAAGATAATTTAATGCAGATATAAAAATAAAAATTTGTTTTTCTGTTTTTGTTTAACCCTTTTAGATCTGGTTACCATTTGGGCAATTAAATTAAAAAAAAAACGCCAATTGTAAGTTCCCTAACTGTACATGGATGTTTATCTCGTAGTGCAAACTTCATCTTTGGGAGTAATAGCCATCATAACCCGCTCATTGAATAATATACTATTTTATTTGTTATTTTTATATTTCTAAGGTAGCAAGAAAAAAACACTTAGATTATGTATCAAATAGACCGTTTAATAAAATTGGGATATCTCACGGCAATAATGAAATTTTTTTAAATGTAATATTAAATTAAAACTTGAAAAACTTATATTATCATTATATTGATTTATTATTTGGATTTATTTTTTGCTGTGGCTAGGTACACGCTAACGTGTACACAAATCAAAAAATTATATACACGCGAAACGTGATCAAACGTTGAATTACGAGGCCCATAATAATGCGTCTTGTTTGACTAGCAGTAGTATTTTATAAACCTTAGAAGCAAATTTCACATACATGAACAAATAATAATAATAATAATAACAATAATAATGCCGTGACAACAAGAAGACGAAGCAACGACTTCTCGTAAGGTCGCGGCTTCGCCGCCACCAGAAAATGTTAATCCATACCTGGCTAGGCTGACCGGCATAAACACCAATGACCTGGACACAGCTCATCTACTCTGTCAAAAGGAGACCGATGCACAAGAAAGATCTTGCGAATGACGTTTCGCGTGTATATAACTTTTTAAATTGCGTACAAGTTAGCGTGTACCTAGACACTGTGTTTATTTTTTTATACATTATATGAAAATATAGGCGATGTAGGGAGATGTTTATGCACTTTATCCTGTATATAAAAACTTGAATAACTATACAGGGTGTACCAATAAAAACTCCCAGGTTGGATATTTTGGTAAGTAATAGAGATATTTTAATTCTGTAAAAGCCAGTTTATAGAGCGCTAAAAGGGCTTCAGTTTTAGATATTAATTGATTTTAAATAGGTCAATAGGTAGATGGCGCTGCGCTCAATATATTTTTTTCGATGGGAGGATCTTTCTTATTTAACGCATCTTGTAAAAAATGCATTTTTAAGACGATTTTGTTCTAAAAACTAATTCGATAAATCTAGCCATTTTAGTCACTCAAAATAGTTTCATCCTATTTCTCGGCATTAATCATTGGATTTTTAGAAAATGCTAAAACAAATCGATTTTTATAGCCAATTAAACACATTTTTACAATACAGACATCTGTCATGTGTCAACCCCTCCCTTCTACTTCTCCAACCCCTTAATTTTAAATAAGGAATATATCATGTACGGCACATCATTGAAAAGTTAATTTTATGGGGAAGTCAGAAATATGATAGTTTATTGCGATATTTTAAATTTAGGCGCCCTTTTTCTGGATAAAACACCTGTATTGTAAAGTGTGACACTTCATTTGAAAGCTAATTTAATTACCAATTCAATACACCACATAACATTATTATAAATATTTCCATATTGCACTTACAACAAAATAAAGTTAGCAATAATGTTTAAAAATAATGCATGAATAATTTTCAAATTATTGTAAGTGCAATATGGAGGATATTTAGATCAATGTTATGTGGTGCATTGAATTAGTAATTAAATTTACTTTTAAATAAGGTGTCACACTTTGTAATACGTACAGTTTTTTATCCCGATAGAGGGCGGTACAATTAAAAGTATGGCAATGAACAGTAATATTTCTAGATTCCCTATAAAATTACCTTTGGATTCGACATAAGTGGAGAATAAGACGACGTCGAAATTTGGTTTTATTTACCAAAATAGGTAGAATTACATCTAAATCCACATTGTAGTAGCCCAGTACGTCTGGTTAGTAATACCTCTCTAGGAAAATTTGACGTCAGAATAACGTTAATTCGACGTTGATTTAACTAAGTTTAGGTAGAAACTACCAAAATATTTGCAGATGACGTATGCCTCCAAGTGTACGAAAAGAAATTTTATACTTATTTGGTATTTTTATCTATATATAAGTAGAAATATTGTAAGAACACAACTAAAACATATACCTAATTCACATGAAAGATTGAAAAGAAATAAATGTCGGTGACAAAAATATGTGTAATGTAATTGCGGTGAATATACAGTTCACGCTTGTTGAAATTAATGCGAAGAAAATTTTGTTGTGCATGTTAACAGTTCTACTTAGAAAAATAACAATGCCCTTCCAAAAAAACTCTCTAATTAAAAAAATATAAGAAAAAAATATGATCGTGTAAAAAAATAATAATAATATTATGAGCTAAAACTATGTTACATTTGTTGTGTATTACTTTAGAAAATCAATCATTTTTCGTTTTTCGGTATTTTCATTCGTATGTTTTAGTTATGGTCATTTTAAAAATTTAAAATTTGGAATCGTACTTCAATTACGTTAAGAAAATATGGCGTATTCTGCGAATTTGACCTAAAAGTTATTATGACTAACGAAATCTACGTATTTTACAAATACCTTTTTACTAAGTTGAATTACCTTTAATTTCACGACATATTAGTTAACTTTACCTATTTAAAGAAATAATAACTTTATAGGTTTTATAAAAAATTTACCTATAGGTAAATATAACATATTTAGGTCACGTTGTTCTGCACTTGAGATTTTAGACGTTTCACTTTACGATAAAAATCGGAAGTATAACGATATGATTTATTATTTTTCGAACTCATTTTATTAATTATTTTTCGCACTCATTTAAAGCTCTATCTACACCACACGTAAATTAAGATTACGACTGTAATGGTTTTTTTTTTAAATGGCCGAAATTCTTAAGAATAATGACGAAGACAGTAACTGAACAACCTAATTGTTAAAATAACCTAAATAATATAAATTTTACAAATAGGTCATGTATGACTCTTTTTAAATTGGTGGTTTTTAGTCGAATTTACTTTGTGGTAGATTTTTCAGGTAATTGCTACAACAAAGTTAATAAATATTTCTTCAAGATGACTTATAGGTCAACTAAATGAGAATTCGACTATTTGGTTGATATTAGGTAAATAAACAGGTACAATTTTGCTACGATCTCAACCTAATATTACTTTAAAGGAGAGTAAATAAAAGCGGCCAAATAGGTTACTATGGAGGCATAAAATTACGTAGAATTTTTAACCAAATCTACCTAGTTGGATATTCTACTATAAAGTCGATTTTTAGTTGCCAAACAGGTAGATATTACCTAAATATGGCACCTAATTTTACTACAAAGGAAATTTAACTTTGAAGTAATTGTTGGTTATTTTTTTTAGTAGTTTTTCCCTTACTGATATGGTTAAAGTTACTTTTAAGCAGATTTGTGTAAAAGGTAGATTTCTTGGTATAATTTACGTAAATTTAAATATAAATTAAAACCGTTTGGTAAATTTACATTAGAGGTATATTTTTCTAGTCAATTTTACGTAATAATTACATCAATAAGAAAATTCGTCTTTAACAAAGTCGAGTTATAACTAATGTTATAGAAAATGTTTGCTGGGTACCTACCTACCTACTCACTTACAAAAATTTTTTTGCCTGATGATGACCTTTTAGGTCGAAAGCGCTTGCAACCCAACCTAATAAATTTATGTGGTCGACAGACTTTGAGCCTTTTACTTCCCTTTATTAAAAATAGGTACCTACTAATCTAAAATGGCGTAATTACTCGTAATAACTAAGGGACTGCAAATATGGGCGCAAATAAGACGATTATTTTTGTGGACCTTTTTCTGGAGCACAAGTGAGCCGAAAAAGGTTGTGGGTGCAAATGGGCCGGGCGCAACTGGACCTATAATTATGTATTCTGTGGTTTCTTAATGTGATAAATACGTAGAAAGGTTGCCTCCAGAAAATATTAGCCTAGGCCCACAAATTATAGAAAGCTGAGCATCATAAAATAAACGAACATTTTCTTATTTTTAAAGAGGATAACAGAACATGCTTATGATAAATAATTTACATTGTAAGTTATACTTAAAATATTCTTTAATCAAATCAGCACTATTCTTGAAATGTCCGTTATCAAGTACTTTGTTAAGAAGTATTTCCTTTTTAGAAAATGGCCAATTTGCAACTTTTATCAGAAACTAATATGATTGAGATGTGCTCATGAACACACTAGTGAAGCCGTCAACTGCAATATATCGAAAATTCAGGAAATTTTATCGAATTCAATTTTTTTATTATCTGGCTACCTGATTCCTTTTGACAACTTGACTACCATGAGAAGCATGTGTGCTTCACAGTCCTTTATTAAATCTAGGGCCATAACAAAGTATAGGCGAGCCTGGTACAACGCTGCTTCACGCTAGCGGTATAGGCTTATTTTATAGCCTGAAGAACTATCTTATGCAGTTAGCCCGTGTTTTTCTCGATCTTACCTTGATTTAACCTTTTTATTCCTTAAGTGGCCACAAATTTTTATTTTTCTAAATAATAATGGTGTTAACCTATTCAAAAACAGGAGGAGGTTCTCAATTCGTCATAATATTTGTTTTTGTTTCTTCAACGATAAATTTACCTCGTTGTCTAATTTTTATCCTTTTTTTTTAGAAAGAGGGTACCTCAGGGGTGGTCCAAAATAAACATCCAAAAAACAATGTTTTGTAAATATACTGGTTGATTTATAATGAATTGTACAGAGAGCAAAAGTAGAATCTAGAAATTAAATATGACCATTGGCCATGACAATTTACAGGAAAGTAAATTTGATATATTTTATTAATTATTTTGGAATATTATAGTACCCGCTCCACTGATATTGATGAAATGTTCGAAATGGAAAATGTCACCATATTGTAATTTTAGGCTTATTCCACTAGGGAGAGCTTCAGATTACTTTATGGCTATGACATTTTTATGTTTAATGAGGCAGATCCTATATAGCACACGACGTCTGAAAGACGTCTCTTTTGGTTCTTGTTTGGTCTCAAGGACGGTATTGACACGTCTTATAAGACGTATTAATGTGAGAGCTCAAAGACGTTCTTAAGACGTCTTGATAAATCCATATATAAATATGAAAGCTCAAATACGTCTTTAAAACGTCTGACAAACGTCTTTTAGTCGGACGGAAACTTTCACAGTTTACATAATTAAAATTTAACAAGAAGAATCAAATAAAGCGAAGTTTGACGTTTGACTTAACATTACATTCAATAAGGACTTCCGATTCGGACACCGTCGTGGCAACATTGAAATGGCGGTCTCCGAATCAGGAGCCCAGAAGTCCCATAAAAATCACAAAGTATCTAATATAAAAGTGACCACCCTACTTTAAAAGTATACAAAATTAAACAAAATATTCAGTGTAATATTTGGAGAAGAATATTGAAATTAAATATCAAGTGCAGTGGAGAAGTGAAGAATAGAAGTCTGACGCAGGAGGGTGCAGCCTTTCCACTTAACTACGTTTAAAAAAATAAATAGTGCTGGGTAAATAATCCTCAAAGGTTGAGCCCATATAAAACGTAGAAAAGAAGAAGTACATTCAAGCCCAAGCCAAACATTTGTATGGCCCAAGCTCATTATGGATTATTAATAATTTTAACAAAAGGGTCTTTGGACTATTTTGAGCATTTATGTCTCTTTCTGCTTAAATAATATGGAAC